CCCTTGCAGGGTCTCCGGCCATCTCTAGCCAGTGCTCCACTAGAAACCAAGCCATCCTTTCGGGGTCCAACACCCATCCTTCATATTTCCACCTTTGGCTTCTAGCACAGGGTCACTCTGAATCGACATCTGTGATGAAGACGTTCTGCATCACGCACATCAACTGTCTCTCACAAAGCTGTCTGGTCTTAGGAGTGGCTTTGGTCCGTCACTTAATCAACTCTGTGTTATTTCCCCCTGCAGTTCGTTAATGTGATACATTAATAATTGTTGTTAAACCATCCTTGCATTCCTAGAGTAAATCCTGCTTGGCTGAGGTCTAATCAGTTTGCTAGATCATGTTAAGTTTGATCTGTGGTGGTGTATTTGTATATAACCTACTGTCTCTAGATAATTCACAAGCCCCAAGACTGCAAATGCTGGGTTGTTACGATGTATTAGTTAGGGAACCATGATAAGAAAAATGACCATGGGGCTGGAGTGGCTCAGAGGTTAAGCTCACTGGCTCCAGAGATCCTGAGTTCAATTCCTAGCAATCACAGGATGGTTCATAACCATCTATAATGAGATCTGGTGCCCTCTTCTGGTGTGGGGGCATACACTAAATCATGATAAATAAATAATCTTTTTTTTAAAAAGCATCAGAACACTTAATACATAGTAAATAAATATATCTTTAAAAAAAAAAAGCATAGGGCAGTGGTGGCACACACCTTTAATCCCAGCCCTCAGGAGGCAGAGGCAGGCGAATCTCTGTGAGTTCCAGGCCAGCCTGGTCTACAAAGCCAGTTCAGGACAGCCAGCGCTCTGTTACACAGAGAAACCCTGTCTTGAAAATCAAAAAGAAAGAAAGAAAGAGAGAAAGAGAGGAGAGGGAGAAAGAAAGAAGAGAAAAGATGACCATTACAGACATTTTTTTGCTCATATTTTTAACCCAAAGGTTGGCCGACTCTATGAATGCCAGCCAGTAGATTAGAGGGCAAACTTTGTTACTGTTGCTTTTTGCTTTCTAATTAAGCCTCACGTAGCTGTCAAAGCCCAGAGGAATTGATAATCCAAGCCCCTGCAGCCCAGTGCTGACAAACTGAAGGGTAATCCCTAATTTCCTAAAGGCTAAAAAATCAAGTAGGACAGGAGACTGGAGCTGGGGCTGAGGGGCCTGACCTCACGCTGAGCCTCCCAACAGCCAAGACGAACTACAGATAAAGCGGAAGCACGGGTGTCCACAGCTCCTTAGGTGGAAAAGAGGAAGGAAATCAGACTCTCCGAGCTCACTGCTCCCCAGGGCTGAGTGTGTGTGGAACCTTGTGTGTGGGTGTTGTGCAAGGGGTGTTGCAGTTGAAGACACAGGGCCCGCCTTGCCTGGCCACTTCTCACACTGGCTTGTGATAATCGTGAGGATGTGCCAATAGTTTGTGGTTCTGGGAACTATGTTTATGGGCAGCCATAGTCCCCAGGGACACTCGCCGATTTCATTCACTCAGGGTGCCACAGAAGTGTATCAGGAGTGCAGCAACAGTGTGGCTTTTCTGCTGGGCTTTCCAGCCTGGGATTGTTGTAGTGTTCCTGGTGATGTTGGAGGCTCAGTGACTGGAGGCCGAGCTCAGTGTCGTTTTACAGAAGAGGAAATGGACTGGGGGAGGTTCTCAGTATCACAGTCTCTTGCGTGGAATATCGGAAGGGACTGCTATCTTTTCCTTTTTGATGGTACCTGGCAGAGAAGAGGGGTATCTGACCCTGTTACTGTGCCCAAGAGGGCAGACCCCTTCAATCCTTGTGATGAATCTAGAAATCAACAGTCACCTGTGTTACAGGGACTGGCTAGTGGCTTCAGGCTTCTGGGGGTATTGGGAGTCAGCCTGATTGCAAGCAGACATTGCCTTGGAAGAAGGAAGAGGATGGCATCCTGGTTTTGTTTCCTGTTGCTGCTGTGGAAACAGCCTGATGAAAGCAACTTAGAGGGGAAAGGGTTTATTTCAGCTCACAGCTCCAGGTTACATGGCATCATTGTAGGGAAATTAATGCAGCGGGCAGCAGAAGAGGCTGGTCACACCTACAGTCAGGAGCAGAGGGAGGGTACATGCATGCTTGTGCTCGACTTGCCTTCTCCACTGTCCTCCAGTGCAGGGACCAGACCAACAGGATGGTGCTGCCCACAGTGAGCTGGGTCTTCCCACCTCAGTTTACTCAATCAAGACAGTCCTCCACACACCACCTGATCTCTGTAGTCCCTCACTGAGACCCTTTTCATATGATTCCAATGTGATTATGTCAAGTGATAACTAAACCAACCAGCTCGGATAGCTTCCGTGGAGTCTCAAAAACAAACAGCTGGGCTAGGTGGCATTGGCCTTCAATCCCACTACCCAGGATGCAAAGGCAGACAGATCTTTGTGAGTACAAGGCCAGTCTGGGCTACTTAGTGAGTTCCAAGTCAACCAGAGGTACATAGTGAGACCCTGTCTGAAAGCAACTAGAATAAAAGAGATCCCAAGCTCCATAGATGAGTCAGGGTAGCAGCGGATATTGGCTGAGCCCCAACCAGGAGGGTCAACCTGGTATTCCTGAGAGGGGTAGGGTGTGCCATTCACCTGACCTACTCACTGTCCCTTCGTGGTGACTAGGACTTGTGTCTTTCCCACCGCTGTGCTCTACAGCTGATCCTTCCCAGTGACTGACAGGAATGCCTGGGTCTCTTGTGGAGCTGGGAAGGATTGCAGGCAGGGTGCGGTGAAATGCTGAGAAGTCCACCTGATGCCTCGGAGGACAGTGAGTGGGGGTGAGTTGGGGGTGGGTGGGTGACTGATGGTGGTTTTCCTTCCCCGCTATATGGGCTCTACAGATGGATACTTCCTTGAGGGGTTATTGTCAGATTAGAGAGAAGTCTTGGGGAAGCTGAGGTCAGTTTGCTGTTGATGAACAGGCAGTGTGACCTAGCTGTCTCAGAGCCGTATCCTCCCTTCCTGTGGGCAGCAGTGTGCAAGCAGACAAGTGCCCTTTCTCTTACGGCGTGTGGTGGGGCTGGCAGGTCAGGACTGTCCGCACTGGGCATCTAGAGCTGCTTGCCGGTCGATGCAGCCCAGCCCCACTTACTCTCCGTGGTTCCCAGCATGGCTCATCTCTCAACACAACCCAGTGGTTGGCCACAGTTGCAGGCAAGAAGCACAGCAGCCCCTTTTAGAGCTGAGCTGAGTCCAGATGGTGGAAGGCACCCTAAGGAGATGTAGGCCAGGGGTGTGGGACCAGCTGTGGTTGCCTCTAAAGCCCTTCTCATTTTATCTTTATCTCTATATTGCCCAGAAGCCTCTAGAACATTGGCTCACAATCTATGGATTATGACCCCTTGGGAGTTGAATGACTCTCTCTCATAAGGGTCACCTAAGACCCTTGGAAAACCTTGGAAAACACAGATATTTACATTAAAATTTATAGCAGCAAAATTACAGTTAGGAAGTAGCAATACTTTTGTGGTTGAAGATCCCCACAACGTGAGTTGCAGCACTAGAACAGTTGAGAACCACTGCTCTAGAAGGTAAGACTGCGGACCCACCCCAGTCCTGCGGTGTCTTCTCCCTTCTGTTGGAGAGCTGGTATTGTGGCTGGATGTGTCTGTCCTTCCTGTTTAGAGAGAACTGGCTGGCTTCTTTGTCAGCCCATGATGCTGGCTCTGCTCCTGCTGAATTACATCAAGGGACTGGAGCTGGAAACTGGAAGGTAGCTCTAGAGTATTCATGATGTTGATGTCTCTACTCAGGGCAGGTGACAGAGATCTGCTTAGAGTGATCCAGGAGAAGCGGGATGAGAGTGCTCCAGGAGGAGCAGGGATGAGAGTGCTCCAGGAGGAGCAGGGATGAGAATGGACCAGGAGGAGCAGGGATGAGAGTGCTCCAGGAAGAGCAGGGATGAGAATGCACCAGGAGGAGCAGGGATGAGAGTGATCCAGGAGGAGTGGGATGAGAGTGCACCAGGAGGAGCAGAGATGAGAGTGCTCCAGGAGAAGCAGAGATTGAGAGTGCTCCAGGAGGAGTGAAATGAGAGTGCTCCAGGAGGAGCAGGGATGAGAGTGCTCCAGGAGGAGCGGGATGAAAGTGCTCCAGGAGGAGCGGAATGAGAGTGCACCAGGAGGAGCAGAGATGAGAGTGCTCCAGGAGAAG